AGCTAGGTAGGCTAGTGCTCTCTCGATCGGTTTAATTAGTTGATTAATTTGGTTTTAGTAGTTGATTAATTTGGGCGGGAATATATAAGGTGGTCGCGTGGAGCTGAGAATCCGTTTTTCACAACCCACATGCACGCAGGAGTGGTGGGGCCGACACCTGAGTTGACCTGTCCCCACCCCTCCCGGCACGTGGGGCCCACCACCCTGGAGGCCTGGGAATCCAACAACTCCTCTTCTTGCTGCTGTGCTGCCCATCAAAGTCAGATATACGTCATGTTTTTTTTTTCACTTCGGTTTTTATTTTTTTATTTTCCTTCAGCCTACTTGTAGAGTATACAGTAGATCAAGGGTAGAAGGATAGAGCTACACCCTAGTACTTGTAGAGTACATGTGTTTTTCATACTGATTGTTTGTTGATCTTCTTCTTTTTCTTCTTATCAACCGCAGTAAACAAAATAAATTTTACAAACTTAATTTTGAGTTGATTTTGAGGTACTTATTTTACAACATTACGACGCAGTAGCTTTTAATTGACAAATATATAAACGTAGAAATTATACACATAAATTTTTTTATCGCTTTGTTCATTTTTCTGCTAGTAATTGTTGTTCATAATTTGTTTGGTGGTTGAGACATTTTGGGCCTCTGCAGGCTGCAGCTCGCCCAAAAGCACAGCCGGCAGTTCACTATTTTTTGCCTTAGCTAGCACAAACGAGCGAGGCCTCCGAAGCTAGTATTAGTACACTCTAATCAAAGCAAAAAAAATATGAATTCTCACAAAGTTTCAAGATCAGTCCCAAAATATAAGAATCTAGAATTAGATGGGGCATTTTATGATAATGTAATAATATACTTCTAAATTCGTAGTATTAGAAAATATCCCATTTAATATTACATTCTTATATTTTAGTATGGAGGAAGTAAAAATCTATAAGGACAGTACCAATATTGAGACAAAAGAACTCGAATTTTGAATGTGCTCGCTTTGTTTGATAGTCCTACTCGAATCCATTTTACTTCCATCCGACGAAAACATATTGCTTTTTTTAGAGTGAATTAAAATCCCCGTCATAAAATATAACAACTTTAGCACTTAGAATGTGTCCCAAAATATAGCAACTTCTCCACCAACACTGTCTTCCCAACCAATCACAACCCTCCACCATTTACTTTTCCCACATACCTTCCACTTCTCAACAAATCACAACTCCTTATTTAATTCTATCTACTTTCTTAATAACCGTGTCAAACTCTAAAACTCTATATTTTTTTTCTAGGACGGAGGGAGTATTATTTTGGATACGACTGTGTTAAATTTCAAATTTTGACCATGCATTTGGATACGACTGAGTATCTCTTTTTGGTGTGGGCCATTTTGTACTTTTGAATTTACTTAGAGTTGACCCTTGACATTCATATTTTTTTCACATTATCTAGAACAAGAAAAAAAAAACTTAGTAGCACAAACTGTACATGAATTCCTTTTAGATTTGCACGTACGCACATTCTTCCCTTGAGCCTTGGCTTCAGAGTTCAGAATGCATGCATGCATCTCTGCAAGTGGATCATCACCCAAAGAATAAAGCGAAGGTAGATCCTGCCGCGGAGGGGTGTGAGCCCCACACGCCACGGTGTCCCCACCTGCAGCCCGGCCCCACGGTGAAAAAATCCGGCGGTGACGTCAGGCATCGCGTCACGCCCTCACGCCGGAGGAGGGGGAGACGGGGAGGGGGCAGAATCGGCGCCGTCCAGCTCATCAGGCGACACGTGTCGTGCCACCGGGGCCTGCGCGGTGGGCCCGGCGCCATATGGGTCCATGCACCGGCGCGAGCTAGGCTCCCCCGGATCCTCTACATCCTGCAGCCTTGGGATCAGTTGCATTGCCAGCAAGAAAATCAGTGTAATAATAACAGAGTAAATTTCATAAAATCACACGTATCATGATCAAACCTACATAAAACCAAAGAGATTTTAATACGTGCCACATAACTCATCCCAAGTATTATGGATTTAGGGCCCCTTTGAATCAAAGGATTTATGTAGGAATTTCATAGGATTCAAATCCTATAGAAAATTTTCCTATTTGGCCCTTTGATTCAAAGGATTGAAGCTTTTCAAATCCTATGAAATTCCTATGGAATGACACATTGCATGTAGATTTTGGAGGAAATTTAGCAAGAGCTCCAACCTCTTGGAAAATTTCCTTTGAGTCTATCTCTCTCATCCGATTCCTGCGTTTTTCCTGCGCTCGAATCAAACGACCATTCCTGTGTTTTTCCTGTGTTTTGCAATCCTCTGTTTTACACTTCAATTCTTGTCAGAATCCTATGTTTTTCCTATTCCTCCGTTTTTTCTACCCTGCGATTCAAAGGGGCCCTTAAAGTTTCACAAAACCACAACATTAACCAATTTAACATATTCACATATCAAAATTTTATAAAACTTTACCTCCATGAAAGTAACAATTATTAAATAATAGATACAAAACTCATAATTTGGGATGTAATTTTAGAACTTCAAAATATGGTATATCAAAGTCTAAATGATTGATGGTATGGTTTTGTAAAACTTGATAGCCATAGAACCGGGGTTATGTGTCACGTGCCAAAATTTTAGTGGTTTTGTTCAACTAAGACTACATAATAGGTGGGGTTTTATGAAATTTGCTAATGATAATACTCCTAAGAACCAAGATCATTTCCCCCTTATTTTTGCACTCTTTTATTGATGAAAAAAATATAGTTATAAAAAATAAGGTACATTCTTATGTTTATCCGGTATTAAAGTCAAACTGATTTTCTCTGTAGCCTTTGCTATGACTACTTTTGACCTCTGCTTCTCAATTTTAATTTTTTTACAAGAAATCTGTAATTGGAAAAAAAACATGTACAATTCAACTTAATGTTGCTCTCATTGTTCAAGAGGGTGCGGCTCCTCCAATATTACTTTAACAATTGTTATATGTAGCATGAACATGAAATAAAAATAAAAAAAAACTCCCTTTGGTTTCCATAAATAAATACCACCATTGATTAACACGACTTTAACTTAGACTATCAATAAAATCTGAATGATTAGATCATAATGTATGAAAGTATTATGAATAGTTTAGGATGCAACATACTTCGTTAATATAGAATAATTTTGAAGTATTTAAATATTTTTTTTATAAAAAAGACGAGCAACCAAATATTTAAGATGAAAAGCGTCCAACGACAAGTATTTGAAGGCAGAGGGATGATACAATATGGAAATTGTTTTTTTTTGACAAATATTTTTTAAGGTGTGTTTGTTTGACAAATATATGTTTTTGAATACGTTTGAAAAAAAAACTCTAATTGCAAGCTTCCAGAAGTCATATATTTATGCACATTGGGTGTAGCTAGGAGCAGTTACTAACCACAGCTACAATTATGGCACAGGAACACTTTACAAATCCTGAACAACCATCCAATGGAACTTCACTAGTTACACACCTTGCTCTCTAGCCTCCTAACCTTGATTACTTGATACTTGTAAGTTGTAATAGAGAATCCAACCGGAGGAAACATGGATGCAAAAATTATTGTCTACTAACCTCCAAGTGGCCTCACTCATGCTCTAACTAACTGATCTCTTTCTCTTCCCCTCCAAAATAAAAAATAAAAAATAAAATAAAACTCATATTTCTTCTCTCTCTCTACCACCCTACCTAGCTTAGAATATTTACCATGCATTCTCTCTCCTCTCCTCTTCTCTTCCCTCTCTCTATATATATACTCATCTCCAAGCTGTTCTTGGCTCCTCTCTCTTCTTCCAACACCTCCTAATCACCACAAAGGCTTAAAAATCTCCAGTCTCCATAGAGAGAAAGAGAGAGAAGAGAAGGCAGCTTGATTTGGGGCGAGGAGACGCGATAGCCGCGATAGGCTAAGCAGCTGGCAGCGGCGGCTGCTGCGATGGCCGGCGCCGACGTGGACGTCGGGACGGAGCTCCGGCTGGGGCTGCCCGGAGGTGGCGGCGGCGCCGCCGAGGCGGCGGCCAAGGCCGCGAAGAGGGGCTTCGAGGAGACCATTGACCTGAAGCTGAAGCTGCCCACCGCCGGCATGGAGGAGGCCGCCGCCGGCAAGGCGGAGGCGCCGGCCGCCGAGAAGGCCAAGAGGCCGGCGGAGGCCGCCGCCGCCGACGCCGAGAAGCCACCTGCTCCCAAGTATGTACTGGACCTAGCATGATTTTATTATTTTTTCATATATAAATCTGGCATTAATATGTTACAGTAGTTCCAATTTGATCCTTCGTATATATAGTTGCATCGTCTAATTACTAGTTTACTTAATAATTAGTGAGAATTTAGTGGGATTAGTATTGTTAATTTTTGCTAAAGGGATAAAAGATGAATTATTTGGTGTGCTGTTTGGAGGAACTTTATGCATGTTTAGTTTTGATTTATGGAAAAAGATCCACATATAGTAGCAGCATAATGGCATTTGGTGAAAAGGTGTATGCATGTTTAGGTTATTAGTTAGTTCTCCCCCCCCCCCCCCCCCCCTCTTCTCTTCCTTTCTTTTGTTTGGATTTATATATTTGGGAGCTTGCTGCATAAACTTGAGATGCCCATGAAGCAACACCTTTAAAAGAAGCACAAATTATCCATATAAAAGAGATCCTCTGGCAGAAAGTGCATATGGCGACACCATCGTGTATGTTCTTTGTCGCTTGCAAAGTGCTGAGCAGATAATTATCACCATTTTTAATCACCATTGGCTCATCTGATGCCTGCTTTGTGCAGCAGGTGTCAGAAATTGCTGGCGATGTAGTGGTACTACTATTGTTTTTGGTTTATTTTTTCCTTCATCTCCTGGCAGATTCCATCTGAAAAAGGAGTTGTTTTCGTATTGTTTTGATTTATTTTTTTTCCTGAAAAGAAGATAGGATCACAACAAAATATTTAGAACGATCAGAAAAGGAGTACATCTGTATACAATTAATTCCTGAAATAATCATGGTGGCCATGATTCATGTGGCAATAACTAAAGTTGATGGCATTTTCATTATACACACAGTACTACCATAAAGTTGCTGCAGGCATACACACATAATACATTAGTTAACACAGAGTTGGTCGCCAGCAAGAATATTGTAACATGCATGATCTAGCTGGATGGAACTTCCAGTCACGAAAGTAAATCATCTCAGTTTTTTCACAGCGCCAATAAGTTAGAACAAGATGTGAAAAAACTGAGCAAAAGAAAAAAAAATCGATGTAGTAGCTAATTTCCAATGTTACACATCAGGGCGCAGGCAGTGGGTTGGCCACCAGTTCGGTCGTTCCGCAGGAACATCATGACCGTCCAGTCAGTGAAGAGCAAGAAGGAAGAGGAAGCTGACAAGCAGCAGCAGCAGCCCGCTGCCAATGCCAGCGGCAGCAACAGCTCTGCCTTCGTGAAGGTCAGCATGGACGGGGCACCCTACCTGCGCAAGGTGGACCTGAAGATGTACAACAGCTACAAGGACCTCTCCCTTGCTCTGCAGAAGATGTTCGGCACCTTCACCGCAACTGGTAAATCGCTGGCCACGGGAACCTGCAGAAACAGATTATCAACTAGTAATTAATTTGAATGCAAAGTTTGATCCGGAATTGATGAAAACACTGTGCATGAACCTCTCTGTCAGGGAACAATATGAATGAGGTGAATGGCTCTGATGCTGTTACAACTTATGAAGACAAGGATGGTGACTGGATGCTTGTTGGAGATGTCCCGTGGCAGTATGTTACTACTTCATTCTTGTGCCCCCTTAACTGTTTTCCTTATTTTCCACCTCATGATTAGAATGCGGTTTAGCGATACCACGTTCAAGTTTCTCGCATTAGCTGATTGGTTACTCTGCAGGATGTTTGTCGAGTCATGCAAACGCTTGAGGATCATGAAGGGTTCCGAAGCCATTGGTCTTGGTCAGTATCTTCAGCTAAAATTTGCTTTCGTGTCAAGATTTATATCTTAATTCACACCCCTTGTGTGTGTGGTTTTTCTTCCAGCACCAAGAGCAAAGGACAAGTACAAGAACAAGAGCTGAAAATGTTGCAGTATTAAGATGCTGAGCATGGTGCCATAAGAATGGTGTTCTTGCAGTGTGTTATGGTTTCCTTAGAAATATAAGGTTTTACTTGTTTAGCTGGATTAAAAGAAGGAAGAGTTGTCATGTTTAATTTGTTTATGGACCAGAAGCAATAATCTATTTGTGTGTAGCTGGATTGGTGTTATGTGATGTCCCCTACCGTGTGTCCCAAGATCTACTTGATGATTTTATTCCAATGTTGTTAATTTAAGTTTGTGTGATTGTGAAGTAAAGGGTATCAATGAGACTATTATTATTATGGTATCTGGTAAGTTAACATGTTTGTTAATCATCAGCACAATATTTTTGTAACCTGGTGTGATCAAGTGGGGGGAACAAGCCATGTGCTTGGTGATGGGGAATCCATTACTATAACTCTAGCCTATCTGTCTTTTGAGTTATTAAGAAGGTTGGGTCTTGACACATGATGGTATGATCATAGCATGAAGCTTCCTTGCTCTTTCTAGAGCTGTGGTGATACCTAAGCTAAGTACATTGCATAAACAAACTAAACCATAATCTATTCAGCACACATTTATGACAGGGAAATGCTTCCAGCATATAAAGATGCCTATGTTATGTTTGGTCTATAATATGTCAAACATCATATGATAAACTCTAGGGGCAGTATTAAATAACAGACGTTCTTGAAGAATCACACAAGCAACACAGTAGTGAAAGTGTGAAACCGCAACCAAAAGAATTGTGGATATCAAAATTTTAAGTGTTTACAGAGAATTAAACGGCTGCGCTTAAGGGCGTATGATGCCAACAGAAGAGTGACTTAAAATCCTCAATCCACCAGAAAACAACATAACGGTCCTATTGCATTACCAGAATTGGAAGGCAAAGGGTGTTTTACTGCTCAGAAATTAGCAAATGTCTCAAGAGAACTCCAGCACTTGTAGAGCATAAATAATAGACATTATAGCATTCTATACAAAAATATTAAGTGATGGCTTACATCAAACTGGAGCTGGTGAAATGTACAACAACTCGAGGAGATCCCATCCTTCCAAGCAGTAAAGCTCTCCCGGAACTTTCAAGATAACAGAAGACCAGAAAGTAACATATAAACAGTCCACATGATCCATCAATCCTGCACAGCAAATTACTTCAAGTGTTCAATAAACTTGCAAGCAAACATCATCTGTGAATATGACATTCAATCCTTCTGAAAGCTATATCTTCAGGATCAGAGGTGGGTCCAACTGCAAAAGTGGAAACATCGCCAGGCTCCATGCCTCACTAACCCTGAACAGCCAGCTCCTGCAAGTGTTCAATAAAAACTTGCAAACTAACATCGTCGGTGAATATGACTTCAGAACCATCTGAAAGCTGTGTTTTCTGTGTCACAGATGGATTCAACCGAGCTAGAAGAAACCTGGCCTGGCTCCCATGCTGATCACATTTTATGAGTTTTGGCACTGGGAAACGGTCTACCAATAGTGCCTCCGCATCAACTTCTGGGGCTTCAAGCAGCTTCCGCAAATTTTCATGATTTGGGTCCTTATGATAGCCAAGTTTCCTCCATTGAGCAATCTTTGAGCCATAATGAATAACAATATAGAAGTATGAATCAAATAGTAAAATGACATCGGGAGAGATGGAGCTGACATCTAGCAACACAGGAATAGGTGGGCCATCAAACGAGTACTGGAATAAAGTTGGCTGGATCATGATTAGGGACCCCACAACTCCTTCCCTATTCAACATCAACCGAAAGAAAGCAGTTTCGTCAGGGGAGCTATTGAAAACATCAATGAACTGTGACCTCCGCAGGTAGTACATGAATTGGGGATACAGCGAGAAGTTAGTTGACAGCCGGAATGTAGATGGATCTTCAGGGACATAGTTCCCAAACTTGGCAGTAAAGCGAATAAGCATCTTATCAAGCCATCTTATCACATCTCTAACATGGTATGTCTCTGCCCTGTGCACGGCAAGCCTGGCCATAACAGCTGCAGCAGCTTCTTGATCAAACCCTGCTGCAATCTCAGGAGAACGAGGTCCAGCCCATCTTCTCGCAACAGTTGTTACTCTTAGGCGATAGCTACCATCACCATGCCGGTACCTCGTCATGAACTGAATAAAGAAGACAGTTGGGGGCTCAGTATTATGGCTACAGTCCACTCGGAAGAAGAACACGATGCAGGTTTTGCTGTCCACTGTACTCATTTTCCAATAGTTTGTCCCACCCTCCCCAATTTCTTTATCACTAACAGAGCTGTTTTTCCTGTGAAGAGAGATGCAGGGACCAAGGGCACCACAAATTTTCACCTCCCTTGATGTTACTATCTCAATTGTTGCATTAAAGTTCATGTTAAGGTAACCAACACCCTCACGATTGAATATGTGTCTTAAACAGGCTTTGAACTGCTCAGACTCAAATGATTCTGTATGCACCATTAAGCCCCCAGACACTTCAATTGGGTATCTCAGCTCCGCAGCCCCAACCTGATCTAGAGAACAAGCAAATAGATCAAGAACTAATGCATGAGCTGTTAACCTGTTTGCAACTTTCTTATAGAATTCTCGGGCTTTGTCAATGAGAGGAGCATTGCCATTGAAAATGTCGCGATGAGAACGAATTGCTTTCCCGAGATCGGTTTCCACCACAAGCCCTGGACCAACTGTTGTGGGACCAGATGTGAAGACCATGATCCGACCTCCGGCATTAGGTGAACAACAACCTTCTAGAAGAGCAACAGCTGTGGAAATAGCAGCACCAGTGGCTCTTAAAGGGCGATGCCCACGTGGGCAAGCAGACATGGATCTCAGGTCTTCTATCGCAGATGTGATGTTAAATTCACATTCAGAAACAGGCAGCAAAAATCTCTGCACTTTAGTGGACCTTGGCATAGCCAACTTATTGTATCGAGCATCACGAACACCTAGAAATTCCTGTATCTGAAACAATAAGAGAAGGTTTGTAAGGTAAACATAATGATGATAATAAATCCTAAAGCGCAAAGCAGTTGCATAAGTGGATCATTGATTGATATGAGCCTATGGGACAACTGAAAATATGACCACACAGTTTTCCTATCCAAACCAAACATCTTCAAACTTGCAAGTTGCAAGGACCAAATCTTCTAGACAACAGCAACATAGCAACAGCATATGTAAGCCAAATATTAACAAGATCCCAAGAGTGCCTTATTTAGATAGTGCCAAACTCTCTCCAGTCATACTACAATTATAACATTTCAGACATTTTTAGGCTACATGGAGTCATGGATACATTGTCATTTGTACATATCTAAGAGTTGCTGCCCTACATGCATAAATGAACCATGCATAGGACAGGAGCAACATAGCAAACAAAGGTGTGGCATCCACTTAGGTCTGTTCACAGGCAGTTTCTTGAAACTGGTCGTATTAATTTTCATCCATGTCCCACTGACAGCTTAGCCTAATGCCATCACAAACTAAACTTGCTCATGCGCAGCTCTAGATGATTTCTTCTGAACCGTACATGAACACCCCTACATCCCCTGTTATAACTCCTATACACCACAGAAATTGTAGTGTGAATTTTGAACTCACATGAATTGGGAGAGCAGACTATTAAAGTTAAATGCACAATGCCCATTTTACTTAGAATATCGAGATCGATAGCTTTTACTCTGTAATATGATAATTTTTAAAGCAAATCCCATGCCTAGTGACTGGATCAACTTGAGCAAACTTGCCCAAACCACAGCATTGAGAAGCGGCTCCGTCAATTAGCCCAGAATTCACAGTTCACGAACCTTCTCCGACTCGAGCTCGCGCTCCCCGTTCATCACCACCACCCTGGTGCACCCCTCGAAGCCGAGATCGTGCACCCACACCGACGCCGCGAAGGAGACGAGCGCGACCCTGACCCCCTCGGGCAGCCCCTGCACGACCCTGAGCACCTCCGCCTTGAGCGCGGCGAGCTCTGGCCCCGAGGTGGCCGCGTCGACGACGAACACGACGGACGGAGGGCCCGGCCCGCCGCCGGCCTCGGCGGCGTCCGGCGGCAGCGCGTACTCGACGCTGGAGTGGGTCGGGAAGAGCTCGGCGGGGAGCGCGTCGGGGGCGAGGAGGCGCGGGAACGGGTTGGCCGACGCGCCGCAGAACGGGCACGCCCACCGCGCTGTGGCGTGGTGGACACGCGAGAACGGGTTGAGCGCCGCGCCGCACCCTCCCCCTCCTCCGCCGCCGCCGCAGCGGAGCGGCGCGTAGGGGAGGAGCGGGAGGAGGTCGGGCGCCGCCGGGTGCAGCGGCGTGCAGAGGACGGAGGTCGGGACGACGAGCGACGCGGCGGCGGAGGCGGTCGGCGGCCACGCGTGCCACGGCCACCGGAGGCCCTCCACCGCCTCCAGCTCCGCGAAGTCCATCGGAATCAATGGTGGTGGTGGTGGTGTAGTCGCGACTAGGGTTTGCTGCTTAGGTTCTTCCTCCACTCTTCTTCCCCCCTTGCCATTTGCCTTTTTCTCGCCTTTTTCTTTTCTCTTCTTTTCGCATTTCTTTTCTCGGCTTGTTTGGCAACATGAGGGAAGGGGATTGGAAGTTTACACGAGGTAATTGATGGTGAGATTAAGATGGGAATTTAATTTTTCATCCCAGTCTTTTGTTTGGTAGAGGTGGTGGAAATTGATAGGGAGTTTAGTTGGAGATTAGATCACTAATGAAAACCGATGACTGAGATTTGTTTAGGCGAAGTAAAGGAGGAATTCCCTCCTAATTCCCTGCCCCTACCCAGGTATTGGAAAGGAGGGAGTTCATTCCTTAATTCTTCATCCCCATCCCACCAAAATTCCTATATCCCCCAACCAAACAAAACAGTTAATAGTCTCATCCTTTTAAACTCCCTCTAACCAAACAGATTGTCTAGACATATACACAAAAGAAAAAAAAGGAAAAGGTAGATCTTAGGCGGACCGGGCCCATTGAGTGAAGGAAAGTGGGCCGGGCGTGGTGGCCTTCTTGGCATATGGCCTCTTGCGCATAAGCATATTATTGTTTAGGCCGAGAGAATTCTCGAATAAAGAATCCACTTCGAAAGTAGTAATCACTGATCAAAGTTGATTATACGTGTGATGATGAGGGATACCAATGACATTTTCATTTGCTAAAGTATAGTTTTAGCTTAAGAAATTATTTTTGGAATGATCTAATTTTGAAGTATTCCACTAGACCACTTTAACACTGCATCATCTTTTTTTCTTCTTGTTTTTAGCTATCGAACCAATAGTGTTCCCCACTTCTTATTTTCTCTCCGTATTAATAAAGTGTATAATAGTTTTTTAACCTTTTGCTTAATATCAGAAGCGGATTTAAAAGCTCTGTTTCTGTGCGTCGGGATGTTGAAAAAGAAGATTTTCGCGATTTGGGCTGGCTACCAGGACCAGCCCACATGTCACAACCACGAAATTTGGCCCACGAAGAGGCATAGCAAATTTGGGCCGCTCCCAGGCCCAGCAAACATAACCAAGTCCACCACCGGACCAGCCGTCACCGTCGTCCTCTCTCCCCTCCTCCCAAATCGCGACTCGAATTTTTTTTATTTTTAATTTTTTTTATTAAAAGTTTTACAAAAATAATTTTCCATTTTGAAAATTGGCGGAAGTAGTCGCCTACCGCTCTCTGGGAGGGCGATTTTTAAAAATCGCCATCGCAGAGGGCGGCGAAAATGACGTGGCAGACGGCCGTTCGCTCTCGGGCGACGGCCGTCAACGAAGTTTGCAGGCGGCCCCCTTGCCACCCTCCGCTACGACGATTTTGTATTATGCGGGGGGCCGCCTGCAAATGGGCGGCGGGGGGCCTGGAATTTTGCAGGCGGCCCCCTTGCCGCCCTGGGGGAGGGCGATTTTGTACTGTGCGGGGGGCCGCCTGCAAATGGGCGGCGAGGGGCCATGGAATTTTGCAGGCGGCCCCCTTGCCGCCCTGGGGGAGGGCGATTTTTGCCTCCCCCCTATAAAGCCCAGTCCCCCCTCTCTGAAATTTCATTATATTCACTAAAAATCCAAAAAAAACGAAAGAGAGAGAGGGGAGGGCAGCAGAAGGGGAGCGGCGAAGCCCTGCTGGTTCGCTCACTTCATCACAGGTTTGCTCCCATACATCTTTTGCATTTGTACTAATATGTTATGTTTGAGTATATATGTTGCGTTTTAGTTTTAGTTTCATATATTTTAGCATATCTGTAGCACACAGCACATATGTGTAGATCCAGAGCATAGAATATAATAGTATGAAATGAGACATAGACAGTAGTGTTAATTGTAAGATGTAGTTTAGTTTGATTTGGAGAATGTAACCTACTTTTAGAATTTTGGAGAACAATATTGTAGAGAATGTAACTTAGGGCGTAGTACAGAAATGCGAGGTTAACGCAGTTATTGTTTTCATCAGGCACAATGTCAAATAAGGTCACATTTCAGATAGTTCACGGTGAAGGAAATATTAGATTTGGTCCAGATTGTGTTGATCTGTCAGATTTTGTAATGACATCTAAGGGCATCGATAGGCCTGTGGAGAGAACATTTCAGTCAATTTATAGTTGGTTGTTGAGAGGATTTAGAATAGACCAAGAAGTCTACACAATGTCAGTATCAGTTGTAGTGAGTCGTGCAACAGAAAGTTATTTTTGGGAACTAATGCCGATGGACAGCACTGCTGCTTGGAGACGGTATGTGGAAATGGCTTTTGAACGGTCATGGCCCCTCGTTATATTTGTGTCGGTACAAGAGAAAGATATAAATGTTTCAATGCAAACCGAAGATGTAGAGGGTCCTATCAATGCAGGGGATGTTGTTGGACCATCGATGCAAAATGAGGAAAATCAACCAAGGGAGGAGCAGGCCATGGGCATGGCGGATGAGGGGGAGAGAGTCGGTATAATTGTTGATGAAATGGAGAGGGAAGATTCGGATAATGAGGAAGCGGACGACGACGCATCATCCGATGAGGAAGGTGATGTAATGGCCACTGATTGGGCAAATGAGGACTTCTCTAGACTTGTTATATCAGAGGGTGATCATGTACCCTGGGAGTATAAGGAGAACGAGGTAATTGAGGGTGCAAGGTATGCTCATAAGGATGAGATGAAGGAGGCGGTGAAGCATTGGGCAGTTTCCTTGCAGAGAGAGTTTAGGGTGGTCAAGTCAACAAATTATGTGTATGAAGTAAGGTGCATGAAGGAAGATTGTCCGTGGCGTGTCCATGCATATAAGGGTAAATGGAATGATTATTGGAAAGTTAGCATTGTGACCGAGCACAAGTGCTACTTACAAGGGGTGGAGAAGTATCACCGAAACATCACTTCAGCTTTTGTGGCAAGTGAGATGTACAGCAGTGTTGTTGGTAACATTGGCTTTGAACCAAAATCAATTATTAGGCACATCGAGAACAAATTCAAGTACACCATAAGCTATGCAAAGGCCTGGAGAGCCAAACAAAAGATTATTGAGATGAGGTATGGCACATTTGAAGCTTCTTATGATAATTTGCCTCGTTTGTTAGCCACCATTGCCCAGAGGAATAATAATACTTACTATGACCTACATACATTTACATCGGTTGATGATCGAACAAAGAGTGTGCTGCAAAGAGCCTTTTTCTCATTGGGTGCTTGCATCAATGCTTTTGTGCATTGTCGACCTGTTCTATGCATAGATGGAACTTTTATGACAGGTAAATACCGAGGTCAGATATTGACAGCAATTGGGTGTGATGGGAACAACCAGGTTCTACCTATGGCTTTTGCATTTGTAGAGAGTGAGAACACTGAAAGCTGGTACTGGTTCCTAGAGAGAGTGCATATTGCAGTGGTGCGTATGAGGCCCAACGTTTGCCTTATACATGATCGTCATGCGGGTATGTTGCGGGCTATTGACTACTTGCAGAACGGTTGGGATGAGAAGGGACTTCCACCTAAGTGGCCTGATGTTCGGAGTCGGTGGTGCATGCGTCACATGGGTGCAAATTTCTACAAGCAATTCAAGAACAAGCATCTTATGGAGCTCTTTAAGAGGCTCTGTGCACAGAACCAAGAGAAGAAATTTAATGAGTTGTGGGACAAGTTGGATGAGTTGACAACGAAGCAAACAGATGAGCAATCTCGCAGACCACAAGTTGAAGGTGACGAGCCTCCCATACCTCTTGGTGCATTACATGATGACCCACCAACAATGAGAAGGAGGTCAGGGTCGTCCATCAGAAATTTCACTCAGTGGATTGAGAATGAGCCTAAGGAGAAGTGGTCTCTATTGTTCGACACCGATGGATCTCGGTATGGCATAATGACAACCAATTTGGCAGAGGTGTACAACTGGGTAATGCGAGGAGTTCGGGTACTTCCATTGGTTGTTATTGTTGAATTCATCCTTCACGGCACGCAAGCGTACTTTAGGGATCGATACAAGAAAATTGGTCCGTCCATGGCCGATAACAACATAGTGTTTGGCAACGTAGTGACAAAGTACATGGAAGATAAAATCAAAAAGGCACGGAGACATAGAGTTGTTGCTCAAGGCACACAAGTGCATCGGTATGAAATAATGTGTGTTGATAGGAGCAGGCGTGGTATCTATCGCAAGCAAGCCGTGCAGGAATGTGTCTTGAAGGCGGATGGTGGATGTACCTGCAGTTGTATGAAGCCGAAGCTTCATCACCTTCCTTGCTCACACATTCTTGCTGCTGCCGGTGATTGTGGCATATCTCCCAATGTGTACGTCTCAAATTATTTCAGGAAAGAAGCAATCTTTCATACATGGAGTGAGGAGATATATGGGTTCGGGATCTCAGGATCTTACACAACGCTGAGTGCCCAAGTTTTTTATGTTCCAGATCCATCTAAGTTAAGGGTGAAAAAGGGTCGACGCCAAACTAGACGCATCAGAAATGATATGGATGAGTCAGAAGCAGGTGGGAGGACTTTACGCTGCAGCAAGTGTGATCTGCGCGGCCATACTTACAAGAAATGCCCGAAGAATGCAGAAGTTCCAAGCGGCGCAGATGCTAGTCCATCTGGACATTCAAGTGATGGTAGGCGACCACCTGGTGAAGGAACAACAAGCAGGCGCGCACGGCCAAGGCGTCGTCGCGCAGCGGGCGATTCCATGGTGTAACAATGCTATCGATTTAGGAAATAAAATGCTGTTGTGATGTGATGAGTGTTCGGACTAAATACTTCTATCGTGTAATTTCAATTGAATGTTGTTGTAATGAGTACCTCCGACTATTGTTGTACTAGTAGTATTGCGAACTATTTGGTGTTGTATCATAATGTTATCGTGATGAGTGTTCGGACTAAGTACTCATATCGTGTAACTGCAGTTATTGTTGTAATCAGAAATATTCCGTATGGTGACACTTTTGTTTGTTTGTACTCTTGTTTAATATGTGTTAGTAATTCGCTTATGAACATTTATTACTTATGTTGAACTAATTATTTATATGTTTCTGATCAATCTATTTGATGCAGGTATGGCGTACGACACA